TTGCATTTCTAAAGCTCCTCTCCAGGCTGACTAGAACCAAAGCTTCTCTTCCAGGGCAGAAATCTGGTGACTCCCTTGTTCCTTTCCCACCCACCTTCCCTTGCTTTTTATTTTTCTGTTTTTTAAACAATATTCTGTTAACTGTTTATCAGTTACCGCGTCTCATTTAAGCCTCTTCTAGTTTTTCAAAATGCATCCTAAAGGTGAGCGTGGAGAAACCCAGACCAAAATTGTGCCATCACTAAGAGACACACACACACATACCCAAAAAGCCTCTACTTCTCCTAAGAATAAAAATTGATTCTGACAACCCTGACCCAAGTCTTACTGACCAAAAGAAGGATTATTAAGAAAAAAACATTCTAATGTTGTAATCTTCTCACCAAAACGGTGGGAAGAGCCAAAACTCTCCAACGTTCCCAGTATCAGAGAGTCAAGGCATTACTTGATTCTGGCCAGGATGTGCAACAGAAATCATTTCACACACACATAGCCTGGTTGTACAGAGAAAATTGTTCAATGACACGTGAGTTTTATTAGATTTTTCCTAAATTTTATACCATCCAAAACCCATAGAAATCCATTGGTTTAATGTTCATTGCTTCCAAGTTGTGTAATTTTTAGTATTTGGTTTCCTATTAGACCCGGATTTCTTCCCCTCTGGAGTTAATTAGCTCCACACTCCTGGATTTCCTTCTCAGCCTTTTCCAGACCAGGTGTCTCCAGCTGTGCCGGGGGCAGTGTCTGGGGTAGCTGTTGGTTGCTGTTTGCTGCTGGGCGTTGATGTTTTGTTGCTGGTCGTTATCTCTGTGGGTGTCTTTTGGGTTATTCCCAGTCTGTGGAGATGTTGAACTCATCTCCATTGAGTGCTGTAACATCCCTTAAATCCCTTTAAAATTCCTTTCCCCAAGGCAAAGACAAACCAAGCCTGAGTTGAGAAAGAAGATTTAAAAGAAACGAAATCGGTACATTTTGCAGCCATGCAATCCCAGTCAGCCCAGAGTGTGGGTGTGAGTGAGCCCCAGAGTGGAATTGTGCCGTGGTGCTCCCCAGCAGCTGTGGCAGTGCAGGCCCAGCCAGCGCTGAAGCTGCAGCAGTGGCAGCAAGGCTTGGCCGCAGTGGCTGGAGGTGCCAGAGGAGGGTGGCCAGGATTTCCGAGGGTTTGAGCAGAGGATCTGTGGGCAGGCCCAGGGGCTTGGCCCGCTGTGGAGCCCTGGCTGCTGCTGCGTTGCCTTCAGGGCAGGCTCAGTGGGGGCTCCCATGGTCCTGCTGCAGGCGGGAAGTGCAAATCTCCGGGGCTTCAGAGCCCCTGAGGCCAGGCTGAGGGGTCCCCCCCCCCCCCGTGTTCAGCTGTGCTGGCAGCTGTTTCTGGCCTCAGGGACACTTGGCATGGGCCCCTTGGCCACCAGTGGTGCTGCTTTGCACTCCTTAGGCAGGAGCCGATGTCCTGGCTGGGTGTTGGCAACAGCAAAGTCCCAGGGCAGGCTCTGTGCCAGCCCAGCTTCCTGTGGGAGAGATTTCACAAGAGACAGGATTCTGGCCACGGACTGCCTTAAATGTACATCCCTTATCTCCACCCTGCACAAGGTGGAGAGTTACCAGGGTAAGGAATTCCAGACATCAATTCCAGGGGAGGTAATTGAATATCTGCCCTGGGTTTGGTTCTTCTTCTTGCCATAGCCAATGGCAAAAGCTGTACCCACGGCATCTTGGTTTTTATCACCAGCTTCCAAAAGTGTTTCTTTATTTCTCCTGACCTGAGCTCAGGGGGTGCCAGGGGTTATGGAGGTCCCATTGTATTCCTAAAGTTGCCATAACCCCCTGAATGATCTTTCGAGTAAAATTAGTTCTTCTTTCTGAGTCTATTGCTTCCACAATCCCTTCTCTAAGAATTGTTCTTTTAGAAATTTCGTAATAAGTGATGCAGAATGCTGAAGCAGTCAGAATTACTTTTGCCCCCCTGTTAGGTGCCATGGTGTCAGCAGAAGATATTGAAGCCTTCCTGCTCAGGGCATTTCAGTGCCAGGCTCTTACAAGCACCCACAGCTCCGCGGGTTGAGCTGAGCATGGGGCGGTGACCTGCGCTTTGTCTGATTCCCCTTCCTTCCCTCCCCTGGAACAGACTGTTGCTTTTAGACACCACTTGTCCTGGTTGCTTCAGAGTACTTTGGAGAGGCTCCCTATCTAATTTTCCCTATTTCCCTGGGGCTGCCCACACTTCAGGGTTCACTTCAGCATAGGCCTGGCCAGACGTCTGACTCAGTGGTACAACAGAACTGGCCTCTGTATCACCTTTTATAATATTAATTTGTGTTCCAAATTTAGCGATCAAATCCCTTCCCAGTAAATCATGATAGCAATTAGGAGCAAATAAAACTTCATGCATTTCAAATCCATCTCCCAGATCTACTAATAGTGGTTGAATAAAACCATACATCTTTCCCACTTATGCCATGAATAATCAAAGACATTTTTGGCCTTTTTTCCCTCCCTTAGGTTTAAGATTCAGAGTGGATTGAGAGGCCCCTGTGTCCATCTGAAAATGCCTCCTCTCAATGCAGACCCACCTGAATGTTCTCAAGGGCTCCAGTGTGGAGGGTCCCTGGTGTGATGGGAGCTGTGACAGCCCTGCCAATCCATGTCCATCACGGGGTGGACTTGCTCGTCCTGAGGTTGCTGCTGTCTGTGCTTGCAGTGTCCTTGTGCCCTGCAGCTGGAGCCCTGATTCCTTGCCAGGGGCTGTTTGGGTGGGCTGTCCCCTGGTGAGGAGGGCAATGCCTCTGCCGGGTGCTTGTGGCCGAGCCCGTGCCCTGGGTGCTGGGGCCCCCTTGGGCCCTGGGGTTGATCCCTCAGGGGCTGTAGGAACTCTGCCCTGGCCTTTGCCTTCAGCTTGGCCTTTTGCTGCTCCCTTCTTGCATTCACCTGCTGGGCCTTTGTGCCCAAGTGGTTCAGGGCCTTCTTCTGCCCCTCCTGCAGCCCCCCTCGGTGCCTGTGGGTGTTTGTCTTGCTTTACAAGACAGGCGTCTGCTTGGGAAGGCAGAAAAAGCCTCTCTTGGAATGGAGAACGCAAACCCCTTCCCTCTTAATTTTTAGGGTAGTGAAATCAAGGGTCTCTCAGGCAAAGCTATGGGAATAGGAATACCAGTTCTTTACTAGTGTGTAAATAAAGCAAACAAACAACCACAGCTCCGGCAGTGACAACAAACAGAGCCCGGACCCAGTCCCGGCCTTTCGGCTGCGGCGCTTTCCCCTTGGGTGCAGTTCCGGGCACGGCTGGGAGGGGGCGCTGGTGGCTCCCGCGGGGCAGGGCAGCGCATCCCTGCCATGGGAACCTCTCTTAATGGAAATAGAGCAATCCTTTCATCTAACTCTTTCACTTTTTTACCTTCTATAGCCTTTCTCCTGTGTTTTGAGGAAGAATTTGGAGAAGGCTGCCTTTTAACTGAGCTCCTAGTGTTTAGATAAGGTGCTTCCCGTAGAGAGAGAGTTTCCCTGAACAGGTGGAGCTGTGATTACCAAGGGGATGTAACTCAGAGCAGGCCGGGGTCAGGGGAGGATATCTCGCCGAGGCTTGGTGGGAGTGTGGGCAGGGTCTGCTGCCAGAATCGGCAGAGGGGGATCTTCCCGTGGAGACTAAACCAGAGCGTGGCAGCCCCCACATGGCTTATGGCAGCTGATCCGGCAGCTCCCGGCAGAGAAAAGGCAGGTGGGAGACCCCGGCAGCAGCAGCGGCGGTGCCCAGCGCAGCTGGCACGGGCAGGGCAGCCGGGGATGGGATGGCTGGGACCCGCCCTCGGTGCGGTCGGCGCGGTGACCTCGGCCCATGCGGCAGGACAGAGCAACCCCCATCTTCCCCAGCATGGCCGGCAGAGCGGCCGCGGGCCGGGCAGTGGGAGCAGGGCACACAAATTCACCGCCAGCGCCGGGGCAGGTGGAGCTGCCCTGGGCAGTGAGCCCGCACCTGGGATGGAAACCGGGGCAGGCGGAGCTGAGGCGGGCAGCGAGCCGGGACCCGGGACAGGCGCCCCGGCCGCGAACGGAGGGGGCAAGAGCTGCAGAGGATCCCACTCTCTTTCTGACTTTTCCTCTTGTTCCCCTCCCTTTCATTTCCCCTTTTTCTTTTCCTGTTTTGTCTCGGGGGTTTCTCATACTTTAAGGATTTTTATTCTCCTAAAATCTCCTGTCTAACCTATGGCATATTCTCTTTCTTCTAGATTAAACGGGGTTTTTTTGCAAATAAATTCAGAACCTAACAAATCTAAACTTGTGCTTGGATACTTTGATAGGGTGGATGAGGTAACTCACGACCTCCTAATGTTGTTTTTCTCATTACCTTTTTATTATACTTTGGCAAATTAAGCATCTTTCAGTTACTTGTTTTGCTACTCCAAAAATCCCAGTGAACCCATAGTTCCTTAGAAAATGATCACACAAAGCTTGATTACCCCAGTGGGTTTTCTGATGCATGTCTTCTAATATTTTCCTAGAAGCACATTTTACTAAGTAATTGTCTTCCATCAAGAAGTTTCCATTTCACTGATTTATCTTTTTCACTTCCTGTCTTGTTTCATTCTTTTTTCTTGGCTTCCCTAAACATTGGAATTTCCAGTTTTTCCTCGTTTGGAGTTAATATTAACATAACTCACTCAGCTCCATTTTCTGCTGCATCCTTAGCTTTGTGATCTGCCCCCAGTTTGCCCAGTTTGCCTCTCCTTTGGCCCGGGCCGGGTTCCCCCTGCCCGCAGCGGCTGGGAGCAGGCAAGAGCCCCACGCTGCCCATCCCGACCTGTCCCGGCTCCATCCCCGCTCCTGCCGCGGGCTGCGCGGGCTGCGGGAACGGGGCACCGAGGGTGTGGCTGCTGCTGGGGGAGGAGGAGGAGGCAGGGAAGGGCAGGGATGAAGGGGGAGGAGGAGGTGGGGTTAGGGAGGAGGAGCAGGGGGAGGAGGGATGGAAGAGGAGGGATGAAGGCGGAGAGAGAGCAGTGATGGAAAGAGGAGAAGGAGGTGGGGTTGGCGAGGAGGAGGAGGATGAGAAGGGATGGAAGGGGAGGGATGGAAGAGGAGAAGGAGGTGGAGATAAGACAGAGCAGGAGGAGGGGGGATGGAAGAGGAGGAGCAGGAGGAAGAGGAAGAGGAGGGACAAAGGCGGATCAAGGATTAGCTGAAGGAGCCGCGCTCGATCCCTGCCTGAATTCGCAGCCCCCACCTGTGGGATCATCGCCCCCCCATCGCACCGGTGAGCGGGGAGTGGGAGCTGGGCCCAGATATCCCTGGGGGTCCCTGGCTTGGGGTTTTTGGGGAATGTTTGGAGAATGAAGAAGTCCAAGGCTGAGCGGAAAAGGCCCCTTGGGGGGACATTGGGGGGTGCCGGTGCCATCCTGCCGGTGATGCCCTGGGGGGATCTCCTTGCCCTTGTCTGTAGCATGGAGGCAAATCCCATCCTGTCCTTGTCCTTCCTCCCCCAGAGCAGGAGCTGAGCATGGAGAGCAGGGAGGACAAATCCCCGCAGCAGAACCTGGTGGCAGAGACCGTTTTGAGCGACTCCACGGCGCAGGAAGCCAATGGGGAGGAAAAGCCCCAGAGATGCTGCACGAGGAGGGGCTGCAAACGCAGATGGCGGGGATGTGAGGGGGAAAGAGCCAGCCTGGGCCGGGAAGGCGGCCGGAGATGGAGCCAGAGCTCAGAGCTGGTGCTCCATGAGCAGCTCCATGATGGGGAGAAGCCCCACACGTGCGTGGATTGTGGGAAGAGCTTCAGGTGGAACTGCGACCTGATTGTGCACCAGAGGATCCACACTGGGGAACGGCCCTACGAGTGTGGGGAGTGTGGGAAGAGCTTTAGCCGGAGCTCCAGCCTAATCAGGCACCAAAGGACCCACACTGGAGAGAAGCCCTATGAGTGTGGGGAGTGTGGGAAGAGCTTCAGGTGGAACTGCGACCTGATTGTGCACAAGAGGAGCCACACTGGGGAACGGCCCTACGAGTGTGGGGAGTGTGGGAAGAGCTTCAAGTGGAGTTGCGACCTGATCAACCACCAGAGGAGCCACACTGGGGAACGGCCCTATGTGTGTGGGGAGTGTGGGCAGAACTTCAGCCGGAGCTGCCACCTAATCCAGCATCAGGTGATCCACACTGGGGAGAGGCCCTTCGAGTGTTCCGTGTGTGGGAAGAGATTTCAGACCAGCTTCCGTCTCCTCCGGCACTTTCAGAGTCACACAGAGGAGAGGCCCTTCTGCTGCCCCGAGTGTGGGAAGGGATTCAAGCACAACTCCACTCTTGTCAAGCACCGGCGCATCCACACTGGGGAGAGGCCCTACGAGTGTCCCCAGTGTGGGAAGAGCTTCTCACAGAGCTCTAACTTGACCAGACACCAACGGAGGCACCGGTAAGGGAAGCCCTGCGAGTGCCCCGAGTGCGGGCAGAGCTTCGTGTGCTGCTCCAGCTCCATCCCCCACTGGAGGAGGCACTTTTGGCACAGCCCTGGTCACGCACATTCCCTGTGATCCATGTTAGGAACACACCTGGCTGCTTCTACTTTTCGTTTCGCATTAATTTTTTTATCCTCTCCCTCTCTCTGCAGTCCAAAAGCCAAGGGGGATGGATCTGTCACCTCAAATCCCAGTGAAAACAGCTCAATCTTACCCCAAAAGTGCTCAAACCCACCTCAAAAAACTCAATCCCACACCAAACTCACTCGATTCCACTGCCCCAGGCTGAAATGGGGCTGGGAGTTGATTTAGAGTTGTGGGATCTCAATTAGAGTGGTGGGATGGGGATCGTGTGGGGCTGGGTGTGTGGGATGTATTTGATAGCAAATAAAACTCTCAGACTTACTGATTTCTTTCCCATTCATGTTCAGTCCATTGCAATTCTGTTTGCAGAGTGCCACCTTCTCAACTCATTTTCTTTGTGTCCCCTTTTCTCTCCTGCCTCTTTGCCTGCTCTGTTTCTCTCTCAGTGTCTCCCTTGACCCATGGACCACCAGAGACCCTCCCCTGATTGAATTGACCCAGGCACCACTAGAGACCCTCCCTATATTTAATTGCCTCAGGGACCACCAAATACCCTCCCCTGATTTAATTGACCCCATCCCTGATTTAATTGACCTCTACCCTGTTTTAATTGATCCCTCTGCTACCAAAGATCTTCCCCTGACTTAATTGACCCCTGCCCTGATTTAACTGCCCCCTTCCCTGATTTAATTGACCCTGCATTGATTTAATTGACCCCTCTGTCCCCACAGACCCTCCCCTGATTATTTATTATTTTATTTCCCAATTTTTATTTTAATTCCCAGTCCCAGAAGCTGAAGTCCTGAAGGCTGGCAGGGAAATGTCTCTGTAGGATTTTGCTCCATTTGCCTTCACGGGCGGGAACATCTTTTCCTGGCTGGGAGCTGGAATTCCAGACTTTTGGAATGTGTGCAGGGCAATATGGACTGGGATCAAATATGGACTGGGATCAAATAGGGGTTGGGATCAAATATGGACTGGGATCAAATATGGACTGCGATCAAGTATGGACTGGGATCAAATAGGGACTGGGATCAATTATTCACTGGGATCAAATATGAACTGGGATCAGATAGGAACTCAGATCAAACATGGACTGGATCAAATATTGACTGGGATTGTACAGATTGGGATAAAGTAGACTGAGATTATTTAGACTAGGATCAAATATGGACTGGGATCAAATAGGGACTGAGATGCTATGGGTTGGGTCAAATGGATTGGGACCATACAGACTGGGATAAACTGGACTGGGATCAAATATGGACTGAGATCAAATAGGGACTAGGATCAAATATGGACTTGGATCAAATATGGACTGGGATCAAATATGGACTGGGATCAAATGTGGACTGGGATTAAATATGGATTAGGATCAAATATGGACTGGGATTGTACAGACTGGGATAAACTGGACTGAGATTATTTAGACTAGGATCAAATATAGACTGGGATCAACTATTGACTGAGATCCTACAGAGTGGGATAAACTGGACTGAGTTTATATAGACTGGGATCAAATATGGGCTGAGATCAAATATGAATTAGGATAAAAAATGGACTGGGATCAAATATGGACTAAAATCAACTATGGACTGGGATAAACTGGACTGGGATCAAATCAGGACTGGGATAAACTTTGGCCTGGGATCAAATATGGCCTGGGATTAAATATGGACTGGGATCAAATATGGATTGGGATCAAATGGACTGGGTTCCTACATACTGGGATAAACTGGACTGAGATTATTTAGACTAGGATCAAATATGGACTAAGATCAACTATGGACTGGGATTAAATATGGACTGGGGTCAAATAGGGACTGGGATCAAATATGGATTGGGATCAAATAGGGACTGGGATTAAATATGGACTGGGATCATACTGACTGGGATCAAATACAAACCAGGATCAACTATTGACTGGGATCAAATAGGAACTGGGATCAAATAGGGACTTGATCAAATATGCACTGGGATCAGATAGGAACTCAGATCAAACATGGACTGGGATCAAATATTGACTGGGATTGTACAGACTGGGATAAACTGGACTGGGATCAAATATGGACTGGGATCCTATGAACTGGGACCATACAGACTGGGATAAACTAGACTGGAATCAACTATGAACTGGGATCAAATAGGGACTGGGATCAGATATGGACTGGGATAAAATATGGACTGGTATCATTTGGATTGGGATCAAATATGGAACTAGGATCAAATATGGATTGGGATCAAATATGGAATGGGATTAAATATGGATTGGGATTAAATATGGACTGGGATCAAATATGGACTGGGATCAAATGTGGACTGGGATAATCCTGACTAGGATAAAGGGGACAGAGATTATATAGACTAGGATCAAATATGGACTTGGATTAAATATGGACTGGGATCAAATAGGGAGTGGGATCAAATATGGACTGGGACCATCCAGACCAGGACGGCTGAACCAGTTCTCCCAGTTGTCCCTAGCATAGACCTAGGCACTCCCAGAATGATCCCAGTCTCTCCCAGCAGGGCCCCAGTCACTCCCACTTGCCCCCAGCGTGTTCCCAGCTCCCCCAGCACATTTCCAGTCGCTCCCAGTCTAGTCCCAGTCCCACAGCCTTGTGGTCTCAGACACTTCCAGTATATCCCAGTTGCGCTGAACATTCTGGCAGTTGTTGCCAGGCACTCCCAGTCACCTCAGTGTTGTTCATGTGCCGCCAGTTGTCTCTCAGTTGTTCCCAGTTCCTCTAATTAAGTCCCCAGTTGGCTCCCAGCATGGGCCTGGTAGCTCTCAGTAACCCCCAGTCAGTGTTCAATCACACCCACTCTAATCCCAGTATGATTGTAGCCACTCCCAGTATGATCCCAGTCACTTGCAGTCTAATCCCAGTTGCTCCCAGACACTCCCAGTACAACTCCAGTGCCTCCAGTGTGATCCCAGTTGCTCCCTGTCAATGCCAGCATGACCCCAGTACCCTCCAGTATAATCCCAGTGATTCCCTGTCTCTCCCAGTTTATCCCAGTTGCTTCCAGTTTGTTCCCAGTCACTCCCACCTCTTCTCAGTTTATTTCAGCACAATCCCAGTTACTCCCAGTCAATCCCAGCATGATTCCAGTCGCCCTCAGAGTGATCCCAGTTGCTCCCAGCATGGGCCCAGCTGTTCCCAGTGTGCTTCCATCACTCCACTGTGGTTACAGACACTCCCAGTATGGTCCCAGTTGAACCCAGTTGCCCCTGCTATAGTCTCAATCACTCCCCATATGGTCCCAGTCCCTCTCAGTATGATGCCGCTTGCTCCCAGTTGCCCCCAGCATGGTCCCGGTTGTTCCCAGTGTGATTCCAGTCCCCCCAGTGTGTTTCCAGACACTCCCAGTTGCCCCCAGAATGTCTGTAGTCATTTCCAGACACTGCCAGTGGCCCCAGTAAGGTGTTAGTTCTCCCAGTATGATCCCCCAGTCATGCCCAGTATATCCCAGTTGCCTTCAGCAGGCATCCAGTCCTTCCAAGCTGCTCCAATTTGCTTGCAGCATGATCCCAGTTTCCCTCAGTATGGAATATTAATTCCAGTATTTTCAGGTGGGACGTGCCCGGTCCTGTCTGACCCTTGCTGCTGGGCCAAAGGCGGCAGCTGTGGTGTTTCACCTCAGAGATACCTTTGGCCGGCTGGGTGCTGCAGCTGGGCACTCGGAACAAATCCAGGCATAGTAGGAGCTCAGTTTACCTCTGGTAGAAAAGGTTCAGGCGACGGTGAAGAGAAAGGAGAGGATTCTATCGTAGAGTTTTAATCCAGAGTTTTATTCCAGGATGGTAGACCTCTGAATCTTGTAACAGCTCCCAATAGAATCCAGACCGCATGGTCTCGTCTCCTTTTAAGCCCGGGGACAGGAGGAGGGGAAGGGACAGGTAAGAGCCAACCAGGTGGGAGAAGGGGAAGGCTCAAGGGATAAAGGCGCTTGGACAGGCCAATGAGCCCGGACATGAGGGGCATCTTTTGAACTTCTGCCAACCATGTGACGCCCTTGCTGGAATGTTAAGATTGATGGGCAGCTCTTAGCAAGAGGGAAAAGGGGAAAGGAAAGGTTGGCACATCTGAGGGGTTGGGATAAGTGAAACAGGAAATGGCATCACACTGCAACACCTCAGTTGCTCCCAGTAGCCCAAAGTGTGATCCCAGTCACTTCTTTTCAACCCCAAATATGATCCCAGTAAGCTACACTGTGATCCTAGTCACATGCCAGCCTGCCCAGCGTGGTCCCAGTATAATCCCAGTTGCTTCCAATCTCTCCCAGTATGGTCCCAGCTGCCTCCAGCATGGCCCCAGTTGCTTCCTAGATCAGCCCAGTCAGTCCCAGTATGAGCCCATTTGCTCGCAGCAGGCTCCCAGTTGCTCCCAGTCTTGCCCAGTATGGAGGATGATGTGCATGGTATGTTCCCAGTCACTCTCAGTTAGTCCCAGTATTAGTCCAGTCACTCCCAGTATGATCCAAATACGGCCCCAGTGTGCTCCCAGTCACTGCCAGAACAAACCAGTTTTGCTCTACATGGTTTCAGTTGCTCTCTTTCACCCTCAATCCCACTCACTCCCAGTATCGCCCAGGGTATCCCAGTTCCCTCTACCATCTTTCCAGTTCCTTCTGGTATGATCCCATTTGCTCACAAGCACTCCCAGTCAGCCTCAGTGTAGTGGCACTCACTGCCACTACAGTCCCAGTCACTCCCAGTACAATCCCAGTGCAGCCCAGTCCCTGGCAGTGCTGCCACTGCTGGGATCCCCCAGCCCTGTGTGCGTTCCCCCCTGGCGGATGTGCTGAGAGGAGCCCCAAGGGCTGGCAGTGGCCAGGCAGGGTCCCCAGCAAGTCCCAGTTTGGATGTGCAGCCCCCAGTTTGCCCAGTTTGCCTCTCCTTTGGCCCGGGCCGGGTTCCCCCCGCCCGCAGCGGCTGGGAGCAGCTGAGAGCCCCGCGCTGCCCATCCTGACCTGTCCTGGCTGCCCATCCCTGCTCCTGCCGTGGGCTGCGAGGGCTGCAGGAACGGGGCACCGAGGGTGTGGCTGCTGCTGGGGGAGGAGGAGGAGGGAGGGAAGGGCAGGGATGAAGGGGGAGGAGGAGATGGGGTTAGGGAGGAGGAGCAGGGGGAGGAGGGATGGAAGAGGAGGGATGAAGGCAGAGAGAGAGCAGTGATGGAAGGAGTAGAAGGAAGTGGGGTTGGCAAGGAGGACGAGAAGGGATGGAAGGGGAGGGATGGAAGAGGAGAAGGAGGTGGAGATAAGACAGAGCAGGAGGAGGGAGGATGGAAGAGGAGGAGCAGGAGGAAGAGGAAGAGGAGGGACAAAGGCAGATCGAGGCTGAGCTGAGGGAGCCAGGGCGTCGATCCCTGCCTGAATTCGCAGCCCCCACCTGTGGGATCATCGCCCCCCCCATCGCGCCGGTGAGCGGGGAGGGGGAGCTCGGCCCAGATATCTCGGGGGGTCCCTGGATTGGGTTTTTGGGGCGATGTTTGGAGAATGAAGAAGTCCAAGGCTGAGTGGAAAAGGCCCCTTGGGGGGACATCGGGGGGTGGCGGTGGCGGCTGCCGGCAGAGGCAGCCTGGAGGAGCAGAGCCCTGTGTGCCCCAGGAGCCCAAAGTGGGGAGCCCAGAGAGGGGGGAGCGCCGCCATTGGCGGGAGCCTCAAGAGCCTGGAGAGGGGCAGGGGGGACTCCTTGGAGCCGCTGCAGCCCAGAGCAGAGAATGAGAGGAGAAGGGAGCCGGGGAGCCCAAACAGCCCCGGCATCCCAAAATGGGGAGAGCTAAGCGGGGGGAGCTTTTGGGATTGCTGGGACTGCCCGCAGCCTGGGCAGGGCAGGCACCGAGGAGAAGGGGGACCCCCGATCCAAGTGTGACCCCCAGCAGCTGGGACAGGGGGGAACCCCCAAAGAGCAGAGGGGAGGGACCAAGGACAAGGAACTCCTAGGACGCTTTTTCAGGGCTGAATCTTGGTGTTTGGGAGGTTTTTCTGGAGCCAGATGGCCGCTGACTTGTAGAGATGGACTCAGGCAGAGGGACCTTCAAACTCAATGTGTGTTGGGGAAGGTGAAACAGGAAAGCCTTATAAATATGATTGTCTGGCAAAAGATTTCGAGAATATAGAAAGTATAAGGAAGATTGAAATGAAAGCAAATTTTGAGATACCTCAGTTAGTGAACAACTGGAAAACAATGATGTGGCCCAACTGAAGGTAATCCCCTTTTGATGAAACAATTCCCTCTGCTTGCAGACAGATCCAAGGGTCAGAGCAGACCCCACTAGCTCAGGAGAAGGGGTCCAAAGAGGAGTTTTTAGGGTTTAAAATGTAACACAGTATGGTGATGTAATGATTCTTACAGGCTGTATGCAAATGCTATAGGACTTGTATATTGTACAAGATTGGTTAGTGAGAAATAGAATATTCAATACAGAAGAAGATTTATTGTATTGTAACGGGAACCTCGCTCTCTTACGCTCTTCGCCTTTTACTGTCTTACCCTCTCATCCTCTCTACCCCTCTCTTCTCTCGGGCCTGCTCCGAGCTGTGCCTGGCAGCTCCAAGCAGGGCCCTGCACCCAGGCCCTTTGCAATAAACCGCAAGTTCCAGGGCCTGGCTGCAGAGATCTCTCGTCTCCGTCCGTCCCGACCGTCCTACCCCTCGATGCTCCTACAAACGCGCTCATCCCTTGTTTTCCCCAAACCAGGATTTCCCACTGCCAACCCCAGGGAAGCTGGGAGGAAGAGAAAGATGCCCCGGGACACTGAGGCAGGTGAGGAGGAAGTCAGTGCCCCTTTCCCCTCTGTGCTGCTCCATCTCCCAGCCCAGCACGGCCCCCGGCTGCATCTCAGCCCTGGGGGGGATCTCCTTGCCCTTGCCTGTGGCACGGAGGCAAATCCCATCCTGTCCTTGTCCTTCCTCCCCCAGAGCAGGAGCTGAGCATGGAGAGCAGGGAGGACAAATCTCCGCGGCAGAACCTGGTGGCAGAGGCCGTTTTGAGCGGCTCCACGGCGCAGGAAGCCAACGGGGAGGAAAAGGCCCGGAGCTGCCGCACGAGGAGGGGCTGCAAACGCAGATGGCAGGGATGTGAGGGGGAGAGAGCCAGCCTGGGCCGGGAAGACGGCCGGAGATGGAGCCAGAGCTTGGAGCTGGTGCTCCATGAGCAGCTCCATGATGGGGAGAAGCCGCACACGTGCGGGGAGTGTTGGAAGAGCTTCAGGTGGAACCGCGACCTGATTGTGCACCAGAGGATCCACACTGGGGAACGGCCCTACGAGTGTGGGGAGTGTGGGAAGAGCTTCAGCCTGAGCTCCAGCCTGATCACGCACCAGTGGATCCACACTCGAGAAGGGCCATACAAGTGTTCCGAGTGTGGGATGTGCTTCAGCCAGAGGTTAAACCGGATCACACAACAGCTGACCCACACTGAGGAGAGGCCCTACGAGTGTCCCCAGTGGGGGAAGAGCTTCTCCAGGAGCTCTCACTTGACCCAACACCAACGGAGGCACCGGTAAGGGAAGCCCTGCGAGTGCCCCGAGTGTGGGCAGAGCTTCGTGCGCTGCTCCAGCTCCATCCCCCACTGGAGGAGGCACTTTGGGCACAGCCCTGGTCACTCACATTCCCTGTGATCCATGTTGGGAACACACCTGGCTGCTTCTCCTTTTGGTTTGGCCTTAATTTTGCTCTGCTTACCCTCATCCTTTAAAAACACCCCAGACTAGGTTAAGTGAAGGAAATTGATCAAATATATCTGCAGTTCCATTATTTCTCAGTTATTTTAGAGGGAATTTAGGATTTGGGGACATGTTCTGTGTGGAGTGCTGCTGTTGCTAAGAGGCAGGAATTTGATCTCACCCTTCTTGTGTTGCTAAGAACTCCTCCCCTGATCCAAACCCCAACTCCACCCTTGGGATACCCTATAAAAACTCCATAGCCCTGCTTTTGCCCTGTCTTTGGGGGGTAAGAAATGGATTCCCAGAGGATCAGCCCTTTTCTCACTGCATTCCCAAAGGATCAGCCTCATTCTTCACTGGATTCCTAGAGGGTCAGCCCTTTCCCACTGGATTCTCCAAATCTGAGCTTTTCCCATTGGATTCCCAGAGAATCAGCCCTTTCTCACTGGATTCCCAGATGATCAACCTTTTTCACTGGATTCCCAGAGGATTCTGCCATAACAACCTTTGCTCGATGGTTCTTGTCTCCCATGACATCAGCCTATTGCATATTCATAGACTCTTTGCATATCCGTAAACTACTTTACATATTCCAGGAACAAAATTGGCTTCATCCTGTTTGGGGGTCCCACCCCCCTCCCAGCTCAATTTTGGGATCCCATACTCGTCCCAGCTCAACTGGGGGGCCCATTCCCCTCCCACCTCAATTTGGGGGTCCCATCCCCCTCCCAGCTCAATTTTGGGGTCCCAGCCCCCTCTTATCCCCAGTCTCCCTCCCCTTTCCGATCGTTTCCTCAATTCCCTTTCCCGTGTTTGGTTTTGGGGGCTCCAGGCCCCTCCTGCTCCGTTTTGGGGTTCCGACCCCGTTTTGGATTAATTTGGGGTCCCCAGGCCATCCCCAGGGTCACCTTCCCTCCGTCCCCAAATTCCGCTCCTCGCAACTGATGAGTCATCAGCGAGGCACGCTCTGATTGGCTGGAAATTACCCCGCGCCGTCTCTGAGTGTTTAACACAGTGCGAGGCCTTGGTCTGTGCCTGGCAACTGATGAGTCAGAGTCGGCCCGGGCGGTGATTGGCTGAAAATCGCTGAGTGGGGAAAGTGCTCTGAGTTTCTGCCCAGCAATTGGATTGTCATCAGTGCCGCACCTTCTGATTGGTCGGAATCTGTTTTGGGGTGGGGACGGGAGGAACTGGGGTTACTTGGGGTTTCTTTGGGTTTATTTGGCGTTATTTATGGACTATTTGGGGTTTATCTTGGGTTTTATTTGGTTTATTTTGGGTTTTATTTGGGGTTATTTTAAATTGTTTACGTTTATTTAAAGTTTGGGTGGTTTTGGGCTTATTTGGAATTATTTGTTGTTCTTGGGGTTTATGTTGGTGTATATGGGGTTTTTTAGGTTTAGTTGAAATCATTTCGGGTTTTTTGGGTTTGATTTGTTTTTTTGGGGGTTGTTGGGGGGTTTTTTGGATTTGTTTGGCATTATTTGTGGGCATTTAGGTATTGTTTGCGGTTTTTTGGGGTTATTTGGGGTTTATTTTGAGTGTTTTGCGGTTAATTTGAATTTATATCAAATCTTTTGGGCTTATTTGGGTTATTTGGCGTCATGTGGGGTCAAAAAATCCAGGAATGTTTCTCCTGCAAAACAGGAATTTTTCCTTAAGAATCCGAGAGTTTTTCCCCAATAAACTGGGAACGTTGTTCCCTTAAAAATTCCAGACTTTTCTCAGCCAATAGCGGCGCGCCCTGCCCCAAACCATCCAATCACTGCGCTTCATCTCCCAAAATAACGAATCACGGTGCACCCTGCCCCAAACTAACCAATCACCACGAGTCTCCCCTCTGGAACACCCCGTGCGCCGATCCAACCAATCACCGCACACCTCCCCTCAGCAAAGCCCGCCTCCCCTGCCCCTCTCCTGTCAATCACCGCACCCTCTATGAAACCAACCAATCACCTGGCATCTTCCTTCAACCACTCCCACCCTCCCCGCGCCACTCCAGCCAATCAGAGCCGAGCCCGAAGCCGCGCCCCCTGACCCCAGGGCTGGGCATGGAGCGGGCGCCCCCTCCCCCCCCCGCCGTCCCCCGGGACCCCCTCGGGGACCCCCGGGAGCCGCCCCGGGCTCGGGCGGGTCCTGCGGGAGGCGCTGGAGAGAGCAGGGGAGGCGCTGGGAGAGGACGGGGGGCTCCGGGAGCTGCTGAGGAGGCGCAGGAACAGGTGAGGGGTCCTGGAGGGGTCGTGAGGGGAATTTGGGGAGGGGTCTTGAGGACGTTTGGGGGGATTTGGGGAGGGTCTGGGGGGAACTTGAGGGGGTTTTAGCGGGGTCTGGGGGTGCTGGGGGGGCTTTGGGGGGGAATTTGGGGAGGGTTCTTCGGGAGGTGTCACGATCCGTCCTAACAGATGGGTTTCGTGATGGTTCGTGGATTTGATCTCAGGGTGCAAAAAGAACCGACACGGTACAAGGGAGTTTGCAATGATAATCGAAACAAATGCACCTTTATTGAATGTCCCCAGCAAAATGCGATAGAGGGATTAAGGGAGAGAAAAAGATAGAGGAAGAGACAGACAAAAGAGAGAGAGAGAGAGGGGATAGAGCTACCAAACATAGAGATGAAGTCCTTTGGTCTAGTCCAGTCGAGGATCCGCCTGTTACGTCGGGGAGATCTCGAAGTCTCTGGCTAACTCAGAGGTTTTTATTAGGATAACTCTATTGGAAATTGCCGGGGAGGGGGGAAACAGATACAATAAGGAATAGATGTAACAGGTAGTCCATGTTCTCAGCAGCAAACGAGAGCCATTGTGTTCTTGGTCCAGCGGTCACAACCTGCAGGCAAACATCTCGCTTTGGTCAGCTTGCCTCCCCCACACACCTGCCCCGGGCTGGGGGTTTCAGTCCCAGTCCTTGGAAGGAGCAGAGGGGCCTTTTCACATGGGGGTTTCATGTCTCACTCCTTGATGGAGAGGCTCCTTACATCTCAGTCTGTGTGTCACGGTGGTTGTAAAACAGGTGAGGGTCTTCTGTGGGGGGACCACCCAGAACTCAGGAGAATCCAGCCAGGCCGAGAGGTGGGACAGCTCCCAAGGCTGTTGTTGCAAAAAGGGCACAGTGCTTCCTTCTTCTTCTCATTGGGCTCAGTGTAGCATACAGCAAACAACACCTGTGAAAACAGTAACTTAGCACTGTGCTCTCAGGTTTCGGGGCCTTTGGCGTGTGTAACTTTCTCCTACAAAGCCCGAGATTTTCAGACGGCGGGGGGGGGGCGGGGGGTCTTCTCTTCAGTGGTCCCCAAATGACGATCATGGGGCAGGTGAGGGAAAGTTCGGACAGACTTGCAAGGACCAATTTCAACTCTTTACTGTTTCTGTTGGCTATAGTCCATTCACTTGCCTCAGCTGGAGGTTGTACTTGTGAAAAACGCCAATCACTTGGTTTTAGAATTTTAAAAGTATAATAGTAATGGTTATAAAATAGTAATATGGTTATAATAAAATGGTTATAAAAATAGTAAGATAATTAGAGTAATTAAATTTTGAATAACTGAGATTTAGGACGACACGAGGCAATAAGAACAAAGAGTTACTGATGCTCCAGGTACCTTTTTCTGGGCAAAATAAGCCCAAACAAGGACACACATGAACAGAGGTTAACCTTTAAAAGCAATAACCTATTGCATATTCATACATCTTATACATGATGCATAAATTCTATTCAAACAAAGGATTCTATCTGGGCAGTGTCAATTTCTTCCTTTGAATCCTGATGAAGTCTTCAGGGCTGAGCAAGGTGGGAAAAAGTTAGTTTCTTCTGATAATGGAGCAATAAATTCTTTTTTTCTGAAAGATTTAGCTGTCCTGTGGCTGCTTTCTGGTGTGAATACCTCATTCCTTTCTTTAAAAAATATCCTACTGTTGAACATTGCATGCAAGATGTTTTCCATTACCATCTGTATGGCAGATTATCTTTTTTTAAGCGGGCAGTTTGCCTTATCTCTCTCTTTGAGTGACCACAATCACACCTCCCTCGGGAGGGGACATCTGTTGATAACAGACTATTGAATGTCACTGCATGACTGATAAGAACTATAACATCCCATTGGGAGATGCTCCACCCAGAGGGGAGAGCCAAGCATTCCTACCCGGATATAATCCAGAGGTTTTTGAGACACCAGCGCGGCTTTCTCACGGGATTCCCCAGAGGAACAGCAGCTGCCTCTTCTTCCACTGGATCCTCGGAGGAAGAACACATCCTTCTCTACAGGACACCCCTGCTCCAACAGAACCACCCCTGACACTTCAGGAGGGCTGCAGCCACATTTCCAATTGGACTGCTACCAACACCCCACAGGGTGTCAGATTGGTTTCTGACTCTGTCAGTGTTGTTCTAAGGTACTGCAGTGTTTATTTTATCCTTTTATGTTTTCTTCCCTATTAAGGATCTGTTATTTCCTGCTCCCATATTTTTTGCCTAAGAGCCTCTTAATTTAAAAATTTATAGCAATTCAGAGGAGTGGGGAGGCTTTACATTCTCCATATCAGGGGAGGCTCCTGCCTTCCTAGGTAGACTCCTGTCTTTCCAAACCAAGACATATTCTGGCGTGCAACATGCGGAGAGAGGGCACAGAAACAAAAAGAGAATAAC